GGCTCAGGCAATCCACTCACCTCAGCCTCCCAAAGGCGCGGGATTACAGGCTGAGCCACCGAGCCCGGCTGTTAGTGATTTTCAATCAGGACCTGCACTAATGAACCCACCTTAACTTCATTACATCTGCAAAGACACTATTTCCAGTAAAGTCACATTCATTGGGTAGGGTTGAGGTTAAAATGTCAGCATAATATTTTGGATACAATTCAGTCTATTACAGTGACCAAACATGGCAATGAAAATTTGTACTAGGGAGGGAAAAAAATTGAAACTCATAAAAATGTGAAAACTTGGCTTGATAGAAAATAATACCAAATGAGTTTTCTTAAAATTGTTTTTTAGAAAGGTCTGTAGGCTGGGTATGGTGACTCAGGCCTGTAATTCCAGCACTTTTGGAAGCCTTGGCCTGAGGATCACTTGAGCCCAGGAGTTTGAGACCAGCATAGACAGCATAGTAGACCCTGTCGCTATAAAAAACAAAAAAAATTAGACAAGTATTGTGGCATGCACCTATAGCCCCAGCTACTTGAGAGTGTGAGGCAGTGTGAGGCAGGTGGATAGCCTGAACTCAGAAGTTTGTGGCTACAGCAATCTTGATTGTGCCAATGTACTCTAGCCTGGGCGGCAGAGTGAGCCCCAACTCCAAAAAAAAAAAAAAGAAGGTCTGTAGCTCAAATAATTTTTGTAGTTTCTTTTAGGTATGTAATAAAATGTAGAGTGAATTTATTTAGTGGTTAATTTTCATGTATATTGATATTGACATAATGAATCTATAAATACTTTGTTATAATATAACATTCTTGCTGATTTTAATGTATAAAATGCCATCTTCCTGTAAAAATTATTAATATAAATATATATTCAATTAAAATGTATAATAGCCTTGATTGTCTCTTAAGAACTTTGATTCCTGTTTTGTTCTTTTATTTTGTGATAAACTCTGGAGGATTATTTAAAATAACTAATTATGACTTGAGTCGTTATTATTAAAGCTGTTTACAAAGTTTGCTCTATTGAAAATAAAAACAGGCCGGGCATGATGACACATGGTGAGTCACGCCTGTAATCTCAGCACTTTGTGAGGCTGAGATGAGAGAATTGTCTGAGCCCATGGATTCAAGATCAGCCTGGGCACTTGGCGAGACCGCATCTCCACGATAAATCAAAAAATGAGCCAGGAATGGTGGCGTGTGCCTGTAGTTCCAGCTACTTGGAAGGCTGAGGTAGAAGGATTACCTGAGCCCAGCAGGTCAAGTCTGCAGTGACTGTGAGCATGCCATTGCACTCCAGCTTGGACACAGAGTGAGACTCCAACTTAGGGGGAAAAAAAAGAAAGAAAGAAAATAAAAATAAAGAGGTGGGAAGTGTTTTCCATGTTGTTGGCATAGAGAAGGGTACATCCATTCACTTTGTGTCTTTAAAATATAAAGTATCCAAATATAATATATTAAAGTATTTAAAATGTAAAGTATCATAATAAATATGATTTCAAATCAAATTTTAGGGAATTTAAGAATTTTAGTTTAAACAAGAATAAGTGATTATTTCCCAAAGTGACATGTTGAGTGGTTTAAAACAGGGGTCGGCAGACTGCACAGAGCCAGAGAATAAATATTTTATACTTTGCCACATGGTCTCTGGCAGTTAGTCAGCTCTGCCTCTGTAGCAGGAAAGCTGACATAGCCAGTCTGTAAATCACTCTGGCTGTGTTTCGATAAAACTTTATTTATCCTCACAGCCACTGCCTCTCCTTGTCTCTGTCACCATGCTCCAGTTCCTGCTTGGATTTACTCTGGGCAATGTGGTTGGAATGTATCTGGCTCAAAAACATGGCATACCAAACCTGGCTAAAAAACTTGAAGAAATTAAAAAGGACTTGGATGCCAAGAAGTAACCCCCTAGTTCATGTGGCCGACTCTAGCACTACCTTCTGGATACACTGTTCTACTCTTGAGGGCCTCTTTTTTCGTCTGAACCAAAAGCTTTTGTTTTCTTCTCGCCTCAGCAATGTTCTTCTTTGCTAGACCCTATGTTTTTTTTGCCTTGGAACAAAATGAGGCCCCAGGTTGAGAACTACCCTTGTATGTCCAACGTCCTCATCTCTCTCCATATCTTCCTTCCAGCTGCACAAGAAATTCTAAGACTGGAATTATGGTGCTAGATTAGTAAATGTGACCTTAACTGACTTGTCTCTTCCTCATTCCTTGGGATTTCTTCTATCTTTTGTCAAAAGAAAAATCGATGAGTTTTATATAGCTGGTTAGACACAAATAACACAGTTTTTAGCAATTACAACAGGTGCTTGTTAAACATGTGGTGCTAAATTATGTTGTTTCACAATAATTAAAATGAATATCTAGAAGCCAGAAAAAACTTTATTTATAAAAACATGTGAAACAACACAATTAAAAAAAAACACCAAAAACAAAAAAACCACATGTGATGTCTAAATTTGACCTGTGGGTGACAGTTTACCAACTGGTCTTCAAGTATGAATCTAGTTTTGAGCAGTAAGATTTTAAAAGGGTTCTAACAACATAGCTCGAGTATATGTTGCATTGGTTAGGAATATGTTTAGCTAAAAGTAATTATTAATACTTGTCTAACAGTAGTTTGTATATATAGGAATGTTTGTCAACTGTGCTGTCAGAGGCCCATGCTCCTTTTTTATGCCTTTGTTAATCCCCTTTCTCAGCACGCTGAGTTTAGTCTTCATTCTGTTCCCTTCATGGTTGTAGAATTCTTGCTGCAGCTTCATGTTTTTTAAGGCTTCACGTCAGAGGAAGGGAGACTGGCAACACTTCATGTGTCTGCCTTCTTTTTATCTTGGATCAAAAAGCTGACCCAGAAACTTTCACCTACTTGCTTCCTCCAGCAGATTTCGCTTAGGTCACTGGGTCATTTTGGTTACAAAGGTAGCTGGTACATTTAAACTGTAAAATTTCACCCTCAGTAGTAAAGGAAGGCAAGGGGAAAAAAAAAAGGGGGTGAGAAAAGGTGTTTAGTCAGTCAAAGCTGTCAAAACAGACAGCCAGATATCCACAGACTATTTATTTATGGTGTAACTTGGCTTTAAGGCTTATTTCCTTAAAAATATATTGTCGGCTGGGTAGGTTGCTCATGTGTATAATCCAAGCACTTTGGGAGACTGGGCTGGAAGATCACTTGAACCCAGGAGTTCGAGACCAGCCTAGGTGACATAGTGTGACCTCGTCTCTACAAAAAACCAAAACCAAAACCA